CACGTCCCCTTTCATCTGAGCTGTGCCTGGGGCATGGGGTGCTGCACAGGGTAACCCTTCACCTGCAGCTCCTCCCTGGGCAGGACTGACAGGAGACCATGTCCAAGGCCCTGCATCCATGGGGGTTTCTGCACTGGACAGTGTGTGGGCACAGAACCACTGACCAGCCTGTGGGCTCAGACCTGGTCACTGCTGCCCAGTTGGAACTGGTGAGTGGTGGGTGTTGGAGTAAGAGGCTGCTGGGGTCAGTGTGCTCTGAGAAGGCAGAAAGCAGCTCTAAATGGCTTTCTTTAAATGAGAAAGCTGCCAGCTCTGTCACCAGGGCTGTGCTGGACACCAAGCCAGGCTTTGTGCAGCTGAGGAGGGCGTATCTCCCCCTTCCATCCCCTGCTCAGACCCAACTACAACAACCACAGCCGTGCCTGTGCCTGCCAAGCCCCTCAGCTGACAGAGCAGGGGGAAGCTGGCCCTGCCAGGGGCTGCTGTGGGGCTCCTCTGCTGGGTTTTGTGCCACTGCTGAGGCCTCTGTGTCAGTGCCAAGGCTCTGCTCCTTGCTGTGCCTCTGAGTGTGATGTGTGGTTGTGGGGAGCAGGCTCAGAAGTGCCTGTGTGTGGCTTCTCTGCTGGTTTGGGGAGGGGAAAAGAGTCCAAGAGAGAGGAAAATCTGATGGATTTAGTGTGGCAGATGGCTGTGGCTTGGCAAGCACACCCAAACCCCAGCACCAGGAATAGATGGGTATTTGGTGTGTGTTTTGACAATGCTGTAAAGGAGAAGGAAGGAGAGTTTTCCCTCTTTGCCTTCTGGGGAACTCAGACAAGCTGGAGGAGCAGCCTGGAAAAGGGAAGGCTCTGGGTTGACCTAATTGTGGCCTTCCAGTACCTGAAGGGAGCCTACAGGAAAGATGGACAGAGAATATTTACAGGGGTCTGGAGTGACAGGACAAGGGGGAATGGCTTCACACTGACTCTAGGGCAGGGTTGGATTAGATATTAGGAAAAAATTCTTTACAATGAGGGTGGTGAGGCCCTGGCACAGGTTTCCCAGGGAAGCTGTGTCTGCCCCATCCCTGGAAGTGTCCAAGGCCAGTTTGGATCAGCCTGGTCTAGTGGAAGATGTCCCTGCCCATGGCAGGAATGAGCTGAGCTTTAAGGTCCCTTCCAACCCACGAGCAGGTCCTAGAAACCATTTCTCACCTGTGCCCCCCCACTCTTTGGGGAATACTTTTGCATTTGGAAGGTTTTGCTGGTACCTGTGACAGCTCCTTCCTGCCCAGCTCTCAAAGCCCAGCCTGACACCTCCAGTGAGGAAGACTGAGCTGAGCCCAGAGGGATGAAGGTTTGGAGGCTCTGCCTGTCTTGTGCCCCCCAGTTCTTCCTGTATGTTTTTGCCTCAGGTGAACCAGTTTGGGCTGAGGTACCTCAGAGCCAGTGCTGTACCTGCACCCTGCAGGGCTCTCCTGCCACACTCCGGGCGCCAATAAATTAATGAGTGTCTGGGATTAATTAGTCATGAGTTGCCTTGACTTGCTTCACGCTGGCTCCCAGTAAGGCAGGATTTACACCTCTCTGTCTCTCTCTACCCACAGAGGAAGGCAGGGAAGGTGCTCAGGATTCCCAAGGGCCACGGAAGCAGAGGAGCTGCCCCCGAGGGATGTCACGCTCCGACCTGGAACAGCTCGCCCAGGGCGGGGAGGACATCGTTGAGGACCTGGCCTTCTCAGATGATGACTGAGCTCCCTCACAGCCTCCCCTCCATGCTGATCCTTTACAGACTGGATTCCCTGAGCCTCCAGCACCCGGAGCAGGGGGTAAGAGCCGGGAACACGGCAGGTGAGAGCCCCAAGAGCCACCGAGGACTCGCTCAGTGACGCGGCGGAGACGCAACTTGGGACTCTCGAGCTTTTTCTACCAGTTGTTTTTGGTAACAATAAAACTGTGGTCACGTCAAGGCCAGTGAAACTGCTCAGCAGAGATAATAAAAAGCCCTCATTAAAAATCTGCTGCTTTAAATAGCACAGGGTTCAGTTTGAGCTCCTGCTAAGGAAGCTGAGCAAGGGAAGTACAAGTTTTTTTGGCTAAGGTTCCTCCTCTCTGCTCCACCACCCACCCCTGTCACCCCTTATCTTGCTCTGGGGCACTCAACAAAACCAACCCTGTTGCCAAGAAGGTCTTAAGGATGGCACAGTGTGTTTCAGAGCTTTGTAGCTTCAATGAAAGCCTTTTATCAGCTCAGTCAAGCTGGCTGTAAGTGTGCTACAGAAGGTAACTTCACATTAAAGTTCCTTGGGTTGGGGAGGCTGTGCAGGCAGGAAGGAATAAGGAAAGGCACAACTAATAATGCAGGAAACACTTCCATTTTGTGTTAGCTGTTGGATTTGTGTGGGATACATTTGCTTATCAAAAACAAGGGACGAGTCTGAGCCTGGCAGTACCTGTCACCCACAGGGACATAAAATCAGCCTTTTCTAGGGCCATTCCCAGCTGCTGTGAACACCCTTTTGTTCTGGGAGACCCCAAAACAGTGATTTTGGCTTTTATTGCCTCAAAGCCAACCCCTGCAACCACCTGGGCAGCTTCCAGATGCAGCTCATTATGTCTCTGCCCCTGGGAGTGCTGCCAGTGGGGGGACAGCTTAGCTTAAGGTGGGCACTGGGCAATTTGTGATCTGCTGGGAAAAAAACCCAAAGAAAACAGCTTTCTCTTGAGACCACGGGTAGTTTGCAAGGCTGGCAGCTAGGAAACATATTTCTTTGGAAAATAAACTGGAAATAGAGGGCATTTGTTGTTCAGTATCCTTAGGGCACAGCTGACAGAGTCACTCCTAAAAATTAACTGTGCCTTTTGAGAACATTATTATTTGTTAATGCAGATTTTTTTTTTTTTTTTAAAGAAGATAGAAGGCCAGGAGTAAATACATGATATTTATTCTTCTCTGCCACCATTCAGTGAGGTCAGTAGGTGTCTGTCAGTGGTTAGGGTGGCCAAGTGACTTGCACAGAGAGGGGCAGCTCTGCCTTCATGGCACTGCCTCCCCGTGCCCTTCCAGGCATCCTTACACCTGCACACCACAAGGGGACAAGATGGTTTTTTATAAAAAAGAACATTTAAATATAAAATATACTTTTATTTTTTTGTGGCTTGTTGGAGCTTAGCAGCAGGAATAGGGGCAGGGAAAGCTGCTTCTTCTTCAGTTACAGGAATTACCAGATACTTCCTCCCATAGGGAGGATAACCTCAGAAATTAATACTTTGGGGGTTATTGTTAACATAATCATTATTGTCATTATTTAAAGCCTGCTCTGAGGGGGCCAAAGTACCTGCTGGTTCATTAGGGGCTAAGGAGCCCTCCAGACTGAGGCTGAGTCCTCAGGCAGGTCCATATGGGAGTTCAGGATTAACTCCACAGGTGAGAATTGTGAGGTCCTAACTGTAAGTAAAAGGTTTTGACTTACCTGTTCTTCCAAAAGAGAAAGGAGTTGCTTTTTCTCCTTTCTCTAACTTAGCTGGGCAAAGTGCTGGCTGCCTTCTGGCAGCTGTGAACCAACCCCTGGATTGGTTTTCAGGCCAGAAATGTGGCAGCTCTGAAGCACCAACACCCACATGGCCCCAGTGGAAAAAAAAAAGGAGAGAGACTTCTTGTTTAAAGCCAGGTACCATTTGTAAATTAAGTGTTTTCCTTTTTTTATTTAAATTGATTGCTGGAAAGCATTTTTTTTATCGTGATGTGATGGATAATGACTTTTTTTTTTTTTAAACTTTTTTTTTTTTACAATATAAAGAAGCTAATGTACCACCAAGCTATTTTGTAAGAAAAAAAACGGTAGCACGTGCAACGTTTAACCAAAAAACAAACAAACAAAAAAAAGGGGGCAGGGGAGAGAGAGAGAGAGAGAGAGAAAAGTACCACATGTGATTGTTGTTCACAACTGTACAAGTCACAGGAGGTCACCCCCAGGAGTTCCCAGCTCATTCACAGTAGTAAAAACTCTGCCCATTGTTTTTTAGCCCCCAGCATCCCTCCCCCTCCCAGGGATCTGTCTCATGGTCCACAGCAGGCCAGAATGTGCAACTACATCCACCTCTGTAACAAGGCTTATTTAAAGAAGAACAAAAACCAACCCTAGGAACAACAAAAAAAAAAAAACCAAAAAGAAAATCGACCCCACCCCAGATGTAGAAATGAGTCTGTTGGACGTGTGAGGAGGGAGGCTGCGAGCCTTCATCCCACCCAAGCACACGCTTCCTTCTTCTTCTTCTTCTCTTTGAAACAGAACATCTAATGGGGGAAAAAAAATAAAAAACAAAAGAACACCTCTGTAGGGCTGGAGCACAGGCAGAGTCCATTCTCCTGTGTGCTGACAGGGCCCCGTGCCAGGGAAGGGGCCAGCACGGAGCCGGTGCCGTACCATCCGCACGGAAGTAAACATGGACGGGAACTTGCCTTTTTTTTTTTTTCCCTTTTTCTTTTTTTTTTTAATTCCTCTTTTTTTTTCTTTTTTTTTTTTTTTAATTTTTCCTTTTTTTGTCTGTCTTTGGTATTGTTTTCAAAGTCGCTAGAGATGCATAGACACCTGAATGAGGAACTGAGCACAGTTTCCAGGGAGGGAGGAGAGATCTGGGAAGGTGGTTGGTGTGATGATATTTTATTTTTTTTTTATGGGTTTTTTGTTTTTTTTCTTTGCTCTCAGGGGGTGCTGAGTACCATTGGGAGGAGCGGAGCCCCTTCCCCTTCCCTGCTTGGAGTCACACCCAGGAGTTCCTGACAGCCAGGATTCTTTGAAGGCAAAGAGCAGCGTTCATTCCCTGTCCAGGGCTCTCCATCTCTGGGCGAGAAAGGGGACAGAAATGCTGCAGCCATCCTCCAGAATCCTTCTCTTCACTCGTGTTGTCTCAGGACATCTTTGGATCGTTTTCTTTCCTTCCCTTTTTTTTTTTTTTCCTTTTTTTTTTTAAATCTTCCCCGTTTTTTTTTTTTTTTTTTTTTTTTCAAAAAAAAAAAAAAAAAAAAAAAGCAAATTCGTCCCAAAAATAAAAAAAAAATTAAAAAAACAACCAAATTAAACCCTCCCTTTTCCTCCCTCACTCCTGCGTCTCGCGCTGCGGGCGGGGGGGAGGCTCCGGCGTTATCCTTCGGCTCTGTCCCGCTGGATCCCCAAAGTCCCAGAAGCAGTCGGAGGGCATCCCGCAGTTAGGACGGAGGTTTCGTGGTGTCGTTGAGCCCGGGGAGGAGGGAAGGATTCCCGTTTTCCTGCTTTGGGGAGCCCCGGCTGGCAGAGGAAGGGACCCCGCTGCCGAAGGGAGAGGCCACGCTGCCCGTGGACGCCGGTCGGAGCTCGGCCGCCGGCACGTCCCGCTCCGGGGGCCTCAGGCCGGGGGGCTGCAGGGGGAAAGCCATGGGGAAGCCTGCCATGTACAGCACCCTGCCCACTCGCTTGGCCACCTGTTAATAAAGGAAATGGGAAAAAAAAGGATGTGGGATAAATAAATGCAGGAGGGCGAAAACGCGCACGGACGGTCTAGAGAATCCCGCAGAGTTTCATGCGTAAGGTCAGGTTTTGTATCCAAACTGCAAATAAAGAGGTAAGCTGCCCAGAGATGTGGATGCTCCATCATCATCCCTGGATGTGTTCCAGGCTCCGAGCAACCTGGTCTAGTGGAAGGTGTCCCTGCCTGTGGAATCAGATGAGCTTTAAGGTTCCTTCCCAACCAAACTGTTCTGTGATTCTGTGGTTGCATCACTAGAATGAAGCACCACCATTCCCAGTCCACCTGGAAGACAAACCAGGGGTTTCCTCTATTCCTGCAGGGCTCTGTCCTGTGCTCTCCAGCTCTGTTTTACTGGGCACTGTGCTGTGTGGCACCAGGTACTGCTGGAGCCACAAGGTCTGCCCTGAGTCCACATTTTCCAGGCTAAAGGTGTGCTGGGACCCCCCCAGGACAGAAGGGCTGACTGATTCCAACCTCTTCAGTCCTTGCATTAACAGGGTGGACAGTTTGATAGGACAGTGGCACAGCACACCATGTCCAGTTTGGAAGAGCGGGAATTGCTCCTAAAGAGGGAGCTGGGACCAACACAGGGAGAGGCAGAACAAAAATCCTGCTGCAGGGGGGCTGCTGTTCCTTGCCCAGGCAGCTCTCAGCCTGCACCTCTCCCTCCTGCAGCCCCAGCCAGCTCTCCTGCAGCAGTTCTTGCCTCCCAGCAAGGGCCAAAGGCCCCACAGCCTCCCAGCACCTCCACAGCTGGTTCACATTTGAGCTTAAACAAAAACACAGGCTGCTGTTCCACCCAGACAACTGCCACATTATTCAGGGAGCAGCATCAGTGCTCCCCACCTACCTCCCCCCAGCCGTGCCTTATTATAGACCCTTAAACACTATTGATTAAATTGAAGCTGGTTTTTCTGCTTCCAGCCCATATCTCATATTCCCCCCACCCCAAGCCCCATCTCGGAATGTCTGTGAGCTATTTGACGTCCCCTTGTTTTTTAAGGAGCAGAAAGAGTTTTATTTCCTCCTGAATCGACCCACGGGGAACAATTGCCCACAGAACCTTTTTATTAGCCCCCTCATAAACAGGGAGGGCTGGAGGGAAAGTAGTAAAGTTGCTCTTATTGTTTTAACATAATATAACCAGTGTACAGCCCTGTGGGTTTGGGGACCTGTGCCAGAGCTGTGAGTGTCCGTGTACACATGACAGTCACTTCCATGACACAATTCCCTAGGGAATACACAGCACAGCCTGTGCTTTACATGTGTCACAAGTGATTTTTTTTTTTTCCCTGAACATTTAAATGGAAAAAAAAGAAAAATGAAGCCAGTGGAGATGTTCTCCTAGATTTGAGTCCCACTGAGGGGGAAGTGGAGGCAACTGGAATGGAATCCCCATGGCTGGGTGTGAGGGAGGCAGAAGAGCAAAGTCATTTTAGGACAGCAAAGCTCTACAGGCAGGACTTGGGAAGTAAATCACAGGGGGGAAAAAAGGTATTTTGAGAAGAAACACAGCTAAAAGGGCACAACAGCAAACCAGTCTATGCTGGGGAGGAAATACAGTCCCCTAAAAGAGAACTGGACTAATGCAACCAATATAATTTCCACTTCCAGTGCAGCCAAATCAGCAGGACCAGTAAGTTATGACTGGCAAGAGAGAAAGATGTTAGAGAGGGCTGTTCCTGGCACAGCAGAGAAGGGCAAGAGCTGGGTCATTATTCATTGGGGAGGGAAAGGCACAACAGCTGAGACACATTAAATGTGCTTCAGGCCTCACTCAAAAGGAGAACTGCCAGGATTCACCCAGGTACAGGGAAAAGGAGCAGCAAAAGGACCTAATCCAGCCTGGGAAAAGACAACTGATTCCTGAGATGGCTTTACAGCCCTCTTTAGGTACTTTGGGGATGACTATTTTCAGGTTCAGCCAATGTGAAACCACCTCCCTTCCCTCACCTGTTCACAGCTGTTCTTCCTTCCTGGCTGGTATTTATGGGAACCACCTGATGTGCTTTTTTCCAGCAGGAACCACTCCATTTTAGGAGTTTCCTGCTGCATCCCTGTTATTTCCTCCTGAACTATTTGCCTCTGCCCCTGGGTGCTGAACTCTGCCCGTGGTTTCTTCCTTGAAACAGCTGTGACTGGATTTGGGTGAGGATATGGAACGTTTTGGAAGGACAAGACCGAGCTTTCTTGAGACAGAATCGCAAAATAAATTACTGCTTAATAAATGACATTCAATAAACCACATCTCTTGGCAGCCCCATTCTGGTGAGGGGACAATTTCAGAGCATGCCACGTGCTGCCACAGAGGAGATTTTCCTACCTGTGACCTTATCTTCAGGGCAGGTCCGAGTTTCAGCCCCATGTTGTTCAGTAAGTGCTCTTCTGTCAGGAGGGGCAGGGTCTCTCCATCAATGGCCTGCTCTCGGAATACCTGCAGGGAAAGCACAGCACAGGCTCAGAAATGCCACTGACACACCCAGTGCCCTTGTCCTGCCCTTGCACAGAAGGGCAGGGTGGGAAAGGTGAACTCCAAGAGTGAGGTCAGTCCATATTTATACACCAGAGGTGTTCACAGTCCTGCACCCACAGCCAGGAGCCAGAGAGCAAAAGGAGACACATGTGGGAATGGGAATTAGGGCTGGTTGGGCCAGTTTATATAAAACAATAATTTATTTTTTTCCCTATTTTTTACCCTTTTTTTTTTCTTAATGTCAGAACGGGGTGTGAAGTTTTTCATCCCAGGTTTAGCACCCAAACCAGCTGCCCCAAGTGCAACTCTCTCAGTGTTTGACAGCAGATTTGAGAAGAGTGACATGCCTAGGGGTCCCAACTCCAAAAAGGGCAGAAAACAGGGGGGAAAAAAATTAAATTTTGGCAAATCCTAAGTCACTCACACTTTGTGTGGATATTGGGGAAAAGTTGACCCAGTAGACTCCAAAAATATTTGCAGTCCTCACTGAGGCAAATGCCATGGAAAAGGAGGGATGGATTGCTCATGCATTTCCTTCTCAAAGCTGCTAATTCCCAAACAGTCTCCAGGCAAAATACATAAACAGATCTGTGGAGCACATGCTGCAGGTCAGATGGATTCACGTGCAACATTTGTGTACTTTTTTTTTTCCTGCCTCCTCCTTTGCCTCTCAGGTATTCCCACCATCCCTAAAACACTCGAGCAGCCTGGAGAGTGCAGCCCATCCTGCTCCCAGAACACCCACCAGGATCAGGGAGGATGATCCCTCCTCACTGGTCTGTTTTAACATTCAGCCCTTGCTTTTTCCCCCCCCAATACTAAGAAATCTTGCAATATTTATTAGTATAAATACTAATAAACAGTATTGATACTGATAAATATTTCAGTGCCACGGTGCTGATGGAGCATGGCAGGATCCTACAGGGTGACCTGGCCTTCAGACAGTGCCATTAACCATCTCAGGGCTCTTCCCCCTCTCCCCATTAGCTGAGGGAAGCAGGACCTGGTGATGTGCACACACAAATGGCAACGGGGCTGGTACAGTCCCAGAAAACAGCAGTTTCCTATCAACACATTAATACCTCCAGCCATGCACAACTGCACCATTTTAACACATTATTAAAGAAAAAAAAAAAAAACCACAACAACCTTAGTTTTGCCTCCATCTATCCCAAATGACAGGGTCATGCAAGAGTTTCCCACCTAATATGTGCTGTGTTAGCAAGGTTAAGGTCTGGCTGTGTGGTCTTATTGCTCCATCCTTCACACACGGTGCAGGGGATGCTCCCACCAACCTCCTCGGGGTGTTTATTTGCACCAACAGGCTCCATTTCAAGAGTAAATTTGGTAATTCAGCCACCAGCTCCCCTTGCCTCTCTGGGAGGTGTCACTCAGCTCCCTGTTTTCCTTGCTACCCCACCTGCCTTTCTTCCCTGCCTCAGCACCTCCTCGGTGTTTTTGCCACACCCCAGCTCACATTTGGGGCTGATCCTGCCCTCTCCTCCTGCAATGGCTCACACACAGTATTTCTATTACTAATCACTATGGCAGAGGGGGTTAAATTTACCCCAATACCTCCTTCTCCTGCAGCAGAACCACAGCCCGGAGCCATCCCTTTGGAGACTGGCAGTGGCTGCTGGAGCCAAGTGGGTTTTTATTGCTGGACTCCTCCAGCAAAGCTGCTCAGGGCTGGGGCTGCAGCACACACTGCTGCTTTCTGACCCAGCAAAACTTACTACACCAGTTTCTTTTCCCTTCCCCTGCAGCCAGTGTGGCCAGGAGCCAAAACCCTCCCTTCGCTCGGCACTAAAACACTCCACAAAAAGCCTTAACTTGGGAAAAGCATCCCCTTGGGTGTCCCCCAGATCCACTGCAGAGACAAAGCTGAACACTGGCCAGGCCGTGGTGACTTTTTATTTTTTTTTTTGCTGAAGTTTTTTCCTTGTTTTGCCTGAAACATGTTTCTAAATGCACAGCATTCCACCCGAACCTTGCAGGGTTTTGCTGGCGGGAGCAGCCTGCGGAGCAGTGCCAGACCTCCCCGGCAGCTGTGGGTTTGGAGAAGGGGAACACAAGGCAGCTCTGCAGCTCAGAGTCACCCCCTGAGCACGGGCATTTTCACACAGTAAAAAAAAAAATAAAAATGTTAAACACACAACCATGGCATGAAAAACATCATCTCTTAAAGCCTCCAACTCCCGCTCGAAGCAACGACGTGGCCAGGAGGTGTTTGCAGCAGCTCCCATCTCCATAAAACATTTTATTTGGAATGCACTGAACCTCAGCTCTTGATTCCCCCCCCCTCTGGTGCACCAGGATGGCGTGGAAGGTGTCAAGGGATGATCCTGCTGCGAGGGAGGGGTGTAGAAGATTCCTGCACATTTCCTACTGGCCTGGTTCAGAAGCATCCAGGCAACTCCGACTGTCCTTCCCCAGCACAGGAATGCAGATAAACCACACCACCACCAGTGGAAGGGCACCCCAGAGGGGTGGGGGGGTAACAGGGAATGCAAAGGGCTGTGTATTTTGGTTTTAGAGCCTTTTGTTGGAGCTCTCAGCAACACACTCTGCAGCCCACACATGCACACTCGTGAACCCACCCTCGTCCTCGCTAAACCCAGCTCCTGAACTCCCCTCTGCACACACAGACGCTCCCATAAACACCCATCATCCATCCACCAGCTCTCTTTTTATCCAGAGTTCTTTCCCTCCCTGTTGCCACAACCAGAACCTGCCCCTTCTCTCTCCCACGCACCCACTCACCCTGATCCACTCCCGAGCACAACCCAAATCCCTGTCACTCCACCTGGGGACGGTTACATGTCCCCCATCTCCACAACAAACATTCCCTTCCCTTCCTCTCCCCCCCAGCACAGCTGTTTGCTCCAAAGCAGCACTGGTTTCCAGGTGTTGTGATGGGATTAACATCATGGTTTGGGGGCAGGGAAGGACAGACTTTAGACTGAAATCCCATTATCCATCACCTGTACAAGGAGAGGGAGGTGGGGGGCAGTTCCTGGATTCTGCTTCCCCTCTGGGGATGCACCTTTCCCCATGGCACTAAATCAGCATAACCCACAGGGAATCATCTCCCTACAGGCAGATACACACACTGCTCCCCTGTCAGGGGTTCCAGCAGGCACAGAGGTGCCCAGTTACACCTTTCCCAAAATAAATGCCTGGGGACGGGCTCAGCTCTGGGAGAGGACACTGGACCAGTGCAGCACAGAGGGACAGACAGCACAGGCCAAAGGAGGGGCAGCAGACTTTTAGAAACCCCATTTCAGCCAGCCTGGATGTCACAGCACAGCCTTGCACCCCTCAGCTGTCAGCCAGGGCATCCTCTGCTGAAGAGGCACATCCAGAAAGCTCAGCTCCTGGTCTCCATCCTCCCTTTCCAGACCTGTTCTCAGCCCCTGCTGAAAGCCTGGATTGTCCTGAACTCTGGCACTTTGCCTCTCTATCTCTGCTGCTTCCAGTCCCTCCCTTAGCACACTACATCCTTTTCCAAGCTGCCCAGGAATCCCTGCCCTTGGAGCATCCCTCAATGGCACATTGATCACGGCAGAGGCAAAAAAACACAGAGGGTTGGTTTTTATATTGCACCTCACAATCCCACACTGAGCAGGCTTTATGGACACCCCACTGCTGATGGATGTTTCAACTCTGCTGTAAATGAGCTTAAAAATCACCACTGAGGTTACTCTGATGCCTGTGCAGGTACAGGGTCCCTCCCAACCCCACTGTGACCCCACAGTGTGCTGGGTGCAGCAAGAGAGCAAAACACAGCACCTTCTGCCAGGCTGGTTGGCACCACGGGCTGCCCACCCCAATTTGGGGACCCCCTGGTACCCACTGCTGTGTCCAGCTCCACCACGGAGCATCAGCAGCTCCTAAAAGCATGAGATGGGGGTGAGAGATCAGTGACACAAAGCCACTAATCACGATCAACCTGAGCTCAGGTGTTCACTCCTAACCTTGCCTCTAATCCCATCCTCTTCCACTGAACTCCCTCCTTGTTTCTGTCCATCTACAAGACTCATCACACACCTTCTTCAGGCTCTTCACCAGCAGCAAGTTTAGCAATCCCCTCAGAAAAAACAAACCCACACAGCTCCCAAGCCCTGCAGGGCTCTGAGATGAACCTCCTGGGAGGGACAGTGCAAATACAACAGGCACAAACAGGAGGGAGAGAAGGGGGGGGCTCACAGGGAGGATGTTCCCCCTCCAGGGACGTTCTTGAGCCCGCTCAGATTTACCTGAGTGTACTCGGTGCAGCCAGACAAGTTGGACACGAAGCTGCAAACATCCTCCACCGTCCATTTGCTGATGTCTTCCAGCGCAGGGCTCTCCTCACCATCCAGAAACAGACCTCCCATGGTGCCTGGATTGTTTGGAGTTGAGGAGGATGGGGAGGGGGGGGGAGTAGGAAGGAGGGGAGGAGAAAGAAACATAAATCATTAAAATCCCACACGGACAACAACTAGCCTGCAATCTGAATATTTTTCTCTAGCCACACATTCATCTTTAATGACCTGTCAATTAAAGCACTGGGCAGGGTCAATTCATAGGCCTCTTCCTCCTGGAGGTCCCTGGCTGAGGGAGGGGGGCAGGGGGGGAAGGAAAAATCCAAGCTAATGCATTTCATGTGTTTAATGTTCTTCAGCTGCAGGGGGAGAAAAATAGGGGGGAGGGGAGGGAAGAGAATAAAAAAAAAAAACCAAAACCCTGAAGGAGAGTTTCTCCACAGGCACCACAAAGCGGAAAACTCTGCCTTGCCCTGTGGGTTCCTCTCCCCCAGCCCTTCTCTCCTGCCGACGTGCTCCGAATGACAACAGGCCCCTGGTGCAGTGGGAATCACTGGGGAACTCGTGCTCCTTCCAAGTGTTCCTTTCCAACCCAGCCCAGCCTGAAATATCCAAGGGGTGGCTCTGCCCTGGCCTTGGGATCTGCTGGGCATCCATCTCTCCTGGTCAGGCATGTGACGGGTGACAGGGCACGGACAGCAGGGCTCGGGCTGAGCTGAGGTGTCAACGCTCCGAAACGCAACAGCAGTTCAGGTCCCAGCCCTGTCAGCACCGAGGAAGGTGATGGGCTCCAAAAGGGTGGAGGAGCAACCCCCCCCCCAGCCCCCCTGCATCACCAGTGCCTGACAGCACGGGATGTGTGTGCAGGGAGGAATCCAAACGGGACTCGGAGAGGAGCTGGAGAGGCACAGGGAATGAAAATGGGGAGAGAAACACCAGCCAGGTAACTCATACCTGCACAGGATGTGCATGCAGGGAGGAATCCAAATGGGACTCGGAGAGGAGCAGGAGAGGCACAGGGAATAAAAATGGGGAGAGGATTATCCAGGATTATCAGGTAGAGAGTTTATGAGGGGTATGAACTGTTCTGCTTCAGGGCATGAAGAAGGACACTACCAGAAAAAAATATTTCTCCCAGGGGCCTGTCATGAGTTACCAGCCAGGTAACTCATATCTGCATGGGATGTGTGTGCAGGGAGGAATCCAAACGGGACTCAGAGAGGAGCCGGAGAGGCACAGGGAATGAAAATGGGGAGAGAAACACCAGCCAGGTAACTCATATCTGCTCTGGGTGTAAAGGGGAAAGCATGGGGATGGGTAATGAAGAAACCAAATTCCAGAAAACACCCATTTTGGGGTGTGATGAAGGGGGGGAAAGCCATTAATAATCTGTGGAACTCACTGCTGTGTGATATTCAGACCAGGAGACAACAAGGACATTTATAGGGATGTGAATACCCAGGATTATCAGGTAGAGAGTTTATGAGAGTATGAGTTGTTCTGCTTCAGGGCTCAAAGAAGGACACTACCAAAAAAAAAATATTTCTCCCAGGGGTCTGTCATGACAAAATTATCTGTCCTGTGGGCTTAAGGATTTGAACAGGGCTGTGGCTGTAACCCCCTGCAGCAACTCTCTCATCCCTGCCCACAGCAGGCAGGACAGTCCTTCCTCAGGGAATGGCAAGGTAAAGCAGGGTCCAATAAAGTCATGGTGGGGAGCACAGGCCCAGAGGACCAGGAGTGTCCAGTTCCCTGGGGAATACACCAGGTCAGAGGGAACAGGCACAGACAGAGGTGCAGAAGGAGCAGAGCCACACACCACGGCTCCAGGCACTCGCTGGCAAAGCCCCCAAAGCACATCCAAGAGAACAGGAAAAGCATGGGATCTCCACAGGAAGTTATCATGCCAATAAGATGCTTTTAAAACAACAGCAGCCTGCCCAAGGAGCAGGCAGACACTATGTAATCATTTCCACTCCGTTTCCGCTCCCAGCTTCCTGCTTCCCTTCCCAGCCTCACCCTCCGCACCATTCCCGGAGCTGCACCACCACCACCACCTCTTGGGAAGGTCACAGCATCGTCTGCTTCACCCAAAAACACTGCCCCCTGTGCCCCTGCACACCTCTGGGCAGTCCATGTGCATCCCCCCCAGGGCACTGACTGCTCCAGGACCAGCAGCTTCACAGAGAGGGGCCACCGGGACCAGCCACAGCTCCCAAAATTTGGGGTGAGTCTGTGTCTCCCCCTGCACAGACCACCAGTGCAAGCAGAGGATTGCCAGCTCCAGTGCCAGAATGTCTTGGCTGGAGCCACAGGGAGAGGCAGGAGCTCCCCAAGGCTCTTGACACAATGCAGAGCAATGTGCTCTTAGGAGATCCTGCTTGGGCAGGGAGGTTGGACCAAGTGAGCTGCAGTGGTCCCTCCAACTTCACCCAAGCCTGTGACAGCTCTGCCAGCTCTGCCCATCCCTCTCTCCCCCCCTGCCTCAGGGACTCGGTCACATCTCTGCAGCCCTCCTTGCCAGCACTTTGCACCAGCCCAGGACTCTCAGGGCTCTCACTGTGGGCAACCACCAGACCTTTCACACCTCCTTCCCATCCTTTCCTTCCCACGGGCACAGGTTCCCTCCCCTCCAGCCTCAGCTCAGGCTCACAAGACATCCTTTGCTGCTCCCAGGATGGCTCTGCCCAGCTGTGCTGCTCCCTTCTCACCACCCTGTGCCCTGCCAGAGCCCGGGGAAGCTCCTCACTCTCTTCACACCTTCTTTTTCCAGCTAGAAAAAGCTTCAGATGCTTTTGTGTGCCCGATAACAGAAAACCACCAGCTTTCCTGGGAGCAGGTGCCCATCGGCACAGGAGGTGAAGGAAGAAGCCACTGCCAAAGGGCCAGCAGCACTGTCCTTCCCCTTGTCACCCCCAGCTACCAGACAGACAGATGGACACGAGCCTTCATTTCCATGCCTATCACATTCCACCTTCCAGGAGACACACTCAGAGCTGCTTATGTTAAAAATTCACAGAATGCTCAGGTGGCCGAGGGCTTTTTTTTTTCCCCCACTTTTTGTCATTTTGGAGGGTGGGGGGAATTCTCTTCCTCCAAAAGAGTGGCTGCAGCCTGGTAAACAGAGGAAGGGAAACTGAACTCAAGATTATTCCAGGCACAGTCAATGCTCGGGCGAGACACCTCCATCTGCAGCCAGAGAGTCTCCGAGGGGATCCAACTGCAACAGCCAACTGCTTCAAAATTAGGTACTTCCTTATTCCAAAAGCAGGCCAAGGACTGAATTCCAGCAACACAGTGCTTGGGAACGAGCCCTCCAGTCGCCAGCCAGCCTGAACTATGCTCAGGGTTTAAGCTCAGCCTACACAGAGAGGGTCTGGTCAGTCCCCACCAGCATGGGCAGGCATTCAGCTCAGATGTTGCTCCCACAGCTGGCAGGGAGGAGGGATCCCTCTCCTACACACATGCCTGCAATCCTGGAACCCCACTGGATGAGGGATCACTTTCAGCATTACTGGCACAGCCAGCAGAGCTGGGCCAACAACTCCTGGTCCTACAGCAGCCTCTCTCCTCTGTGGTTTTCTCTCCTTTGTCTCTTCCTGCCCCAGAAGAAGGAAGGGAGAGGTCAGGATGCCCACAGACAAACACACTCAGAGCCTGCTGTGTCCAGATTGAGGATGAGGCAGAACCCACTCCATGGGAATATTTTCCACGTAACCACACACAGAGAAATATAATACGGCCAAAATATTTATCTCACAGGGTTTGTTTTCCCTTCCCATTTATACCAGGGAATTAGTGGTGGAAATATTCTTGGGAGGGGGAAGGTAAATACCAACACTTTGCATTCTGGCCTATTAGCAATTTCTGTGCCACAGAATGTAAAATCTAGAGGGTGGAAACCTATTTCCACCAAGATCAGTGGCAAAACACCCCTGTTACTACCAAAAAATCAAAGAGTGACTGGTATCTCCAAAGGCTCAGTTCTACTGTGAGTACTCAGCACCCTGCAGTCAGGGCTGTAAAGCTTGGTGTCCAAGTGTCCCCCCTGCCCTTCTGCTCCTACCTCAGCTCTGAATCCACCAGGAATAACCCCGGTAAGGATTTCTGTAGCTGATTACAGTGGTCCCTCCACCTCAGCATGCGTCTGGTTTGCAACGAGTACAGGTCCAGCCCTCAGCACGCTGGTCCCTTCCAATTTTACGGTCCCTAGAGCAGAAGGGCTCCTGTCCTTCCTCCTGTCCCTCCCTGGGAGGATAATGCACCGTCTGCTCCATCCCTGTGCGTGGCTGCATCCACTCACCCTGCTCTGGCAGCTCGGAGAATGATAACAAATAGGTGCCAAGTGGCTGGAAGGGACGCACCTTCGATTATAATAATGACATGTCACTGGATGCTGCGGGGCTGCGAGGAGGCATAAAGGGCAGCATCCATTCCCTGCCAGGCCTCCTCTGTCTCTCCCCATGATAAATGATGGTCCAAGAGGCTGGTAATGGATTACGGAGCATTTCACCAGATGGGGCCCAGCGTGTGGGGACTGAGAAGAATCCATCGTCCCAGGCCGGTGTCGTGTGGACAGGTGTCCACGTAAAAGCCCTCACCACCCATGCTGCAATCCATTTATAATTTCCCCTCCCTCCTCCTGATATCCAGCTGCTCCAGGAACACAAGCCAAAGGCTGGAGGGGGTCATGGGGAGCAAACCTTCTGGCCATCCCAGTGAGGGAAAGCTCTGCTGCAGATCCACCAGCCGAGCTGCAGCGGGACCCACATCCCCAGTCTGTGCTCCTGGCATCGCAGGAGACAATCCAGGTGCCAGCTGGGAGACACAAAGAGAACCCCCACGGAAGCCAGCCCACCTATGGCTTTAATCAGTTTTGCTACCACTCCCCAACCCCTCTCCCTGTGCCTGCACCCCCTTCCTCCCTCCCTCCCTCCCTCCCACCAGAGAGGTCACTGAGCAGCACGGCAAGGCTTGCGTTAATTGCTCTCCAGACTACAGATCAATAGAAGGATTTTAGCCTCCTGCACACTCCATCCTTCACCTTTTCCAGAGGACAGGGCTGGAGGAGGGCGGCAGGAGGAGGAGGAGGAGGAGGAGGAGGAGGAGGAGGAGGAGGAGGAG